AAAAACGGCGTGGCCACTGCGCAGATGCCTCGGCCACGCCCGCGGAAAAAAAAAAAGAAAAAAGCTGATTGCCTGAGGCCAGAACGCTGAGTCAAGCTGAGTGCCTGAGGCCAGAACGCTGAGTCCCTGAGTCCCCGAGGCCAGGGGCCCAGGGGTCCTTCGCTGTGAAACTTGGCGCAACGCGGTATTTTTGCTGGCAAACAACGGGTTCGGGCATGATATCCAATCCTCTTTGCTAGTCGGACTGCTGCGCCCCCGTGTTGCCTTGCGGCCCATGCTCATGTCCCGTTGGGCCGCTCTCCACGTATGAGAGATGCGGCCGCCCCCCCTCCCCCCCCAAAAAAAAAGATATGAAAAAAGGAAACCTTGAGGTATTTATCGTTTCTTCTTGTTTTTTATTCGACAATTTTTAATTGCCACAGTGACTTCCCATTGATTGCGACTCCCTCCACTATTCACCAATTGTGCAAGATGAGAATGAATCCTCCGATAGAACATGGAAAAGTACACCGCCATTATTTTTCTCTTTTATGCATGTGCTCATCGACGCACTATAGTCTATATTATAACGTACTTGTATGATTGGGTATACCTCTTTTGTTAATTAAAATTTTTCAAAGACCAGCAATCATTAACGTCATAGCCCCGTCAGGTAGTTCTCTCTGGATGGAGAGAGAGAGAGAGAGAGAGAGAGAGAGACAGACAGAGACACAGAGAGAGAGAGAGAGAGAGAGAGAGAGAGAGAGAGAGAGAGAGAGAGAGAGAGAGAGAACCGCCCGGTAAACCGTGGGTATAGATGGAGAAGAGCACTACAAGCCAAGGGCTATGACAGACTGTTTCCTCCGAGTTAAACGGACTCGTCAGCAGGCTGCACCCTATATCTATATCTATTGGCCTATGTATATCTATATACATATACATATAGATATACATATAGATATAATGTCCATAGAGTTATGTATATGAACTAAAGGACGTGGCATCGGATAGGAGGCGAGGTCTCAGACTGGATGGCTGATCACAAAACGGGCCTTCGTCTTGGAGGCGCTGTGTTGATGTGTGACATTGTGTGTGACATATGTGACGTGTGCGACCGACCTGCTGAGCCAAGTGGTGGTCCACAATGCCTCGTGGAACGTACTGCAGGTCGCACAGCCGCACAGACACGTGGCAGCGCGGCAATGCTTGTCTCGCATTGCCGCCAAGGTGTCCCTGGAATTTTCGGTTCCCGTTTCTTTTCTTTTTGTTAAAAAATAAAATAAATTATTAATTTCTTAGGGACCAGGCTCGTATCGTTTCCGTTTTTATGCCCCTAGCGCAGGTATTGGTGTCGCACTGTCGCACAGTGATGTTCTGAAGTTTTGTCCCTCACTGTCGCACAGCCACACGGGCAGAGCGACATTGAGACTGCATGTAAGAAGTAGCGAAGACAAAAAACAAAAAAAAAAAAAAAAAAGCGTGTTTGAATGAAATGAATGAGCTCTGCCTTTCAAAAAACAAAATAAATAAATAAATAAATAAATCAACTTCGTGTCCACTGAGAGAAGAAGACTGCCGGGCTGGTAATGAAAGGTTTTCTTTTTTCTTTTCTTTTTAAACAAGAAAGAAAAGAGAGCCAAAAAAAAAGAACAAGACAGCCCGGCAAGACTGCCACGTAGACACACGGGCAGAACAAACGCAGAAAGAAAAAAAAAAAACAAAGATCGCGGGCAACTGGATACCAGTGGCTCGACTCCGACGTGAGGACTGTTGCCATGCACGTCTAAGGGCGAGATCCCACTGGGTTCAAGTACGCAAATGATTGGAGAATCATGTATAAATGATATGATTACACGCTGCGCACCAAATTGCAAACAAACCGTGCAAGCAGTCTTATGTCGCAAAGAGGATTGTAGTAATTGTCTGAATGTGGACGTGTTTGTGGACAGGTGCGAAACATTGTGATTGATCTACTTTTCTGCACCTCTGCGTGGAACACGCCCAGACTCAGACACTTCTACCAGTCCTCTTTGCCAGAGGGATCTGCCCCTAAGTAACTGTTGTCGCAATCTTTCCTTTTTTTTTTCTTTCTAAAATGAGTTATAATTGCACTATGGTGGGCCACGATACAGTTTCGAATTGCAGTTCGGCCAATGTATACAACCCAGCTTTCTGGCCAGGTACGGTGCCTGAAGTGCAATTGCAAACTGTACCTTGCCCCATAGTGCAATTACGACTCTTTTTTGTGACTCTACTGAAGTCACCCCTTTTTTTCTTTTCTTCTTTTTGTTGTCGTTGTTGTTGTTGTTGTTGTTGTTGTTGATGTTGCAATCTCCCTTTCTGGGCCTTCTCTCCACTTCTTTTTTTTTTTGTTTTGTTTTTGTTTTTGTTTTCACTCTGTGTACTAGTTTTTCCTCCCCCCTCAACGAGATAATCGCGGGCTATAAATAGTGCACGCTTCTCTCACGAGTCCCTACCATATCGTACCAGTTGCAGAACACAGACAAAAGTACAAGTGAAGTGAAAGAAAAAGACGGTGTTATACCTTTCTCGGCCTTTTGACCAAGCAAGATCAAGTGTAGTATCTGTCTGATCAGTTTAATATCTGATCTGTGGTCCATTGGGCCATTACACACACACACAAAAAAAGAAAAAAAAAAAAAAAAAAAGAAGAAGAAGACGGTGTCGCTCCTGCCTGGCCATCTGAATGCCAAGGACTCCGGAGCCAGCTGCACATTCTCTCTGACAGTGATTCCATATTACTTGGGAATGGGAGTGGGAGTGGGCGTGGGAGTGGGAGTGGGCGTGGGAGAGTCGTTTCCTTCCTCCCTCTCCTCGGACAGATATCCCCCTGCTCGTTCTCTTCCTCCCCACTCCTCCCTTTTCCCTGTCCTCCCTCTCCTCCCTCTCTCCTCTCTCTCTATCTGTCTTCTGTGCGTGCGTGTATGTGCACAAGAGAGAGACAGAGAGAGAGAGAGAGAGAGAGAGAGAGAGAGAGAGAGAGAGAGAGAGAGAGAGAGAGCGAAAGAGAGGGAGAAGCCGACAGACGAACAGAGGGAGCGGTAGAACTTAAGGTAGACACCCGCACATGCACATGCAGATACAGAGACGAGCAGGCCGACAGACGGGCAGATAAAGCTGGGGTAAGAGGAGGGAGTAAGGAGGGCGAGATCCGAAACAGCTGCTGTGGTACTTACTTATTACCGTAGTCATACGGGGCGGGAAGAAGGGGTCATAAGGGAGACGAAGAGGCATTAGAAGGAGGGTGGAGAGGGGTGCAACCGTGCAAGCGACGGATGTTGGCTGATTCGTTGATTCCTTATACCCTGTCAGCCTCAGGCTGTCAATGCTACAAGCTCGCTGTGTGATCAGTCTTCTCAGACTCTTCTGTGCACTGACTGGCAGGCAACGGAGGTAGGTGCCGGGCCTGCGAAGCATCGGTTCATTTGCTCGCTCGGCTATGTCGATGCTTCAATGACTGAGCCCATCACTGGTCTCGCCCCGGAACGTAAAGAGTAGGAGCTATCCGACCGACAAAGAGGCCAAATCTGCTGGAACTGATTCGTCAGCGGTTCCGCTTGGTCTGTGTGTGTGTGTGTGTGTGTGTGTGTGTGTGTGTGTGTGTGTGTTTTTGTGTGTGTGTGTGTGTGTGTGTGTGTGTGTGTGTGTGTGTGTGTGNGAGAGAGAGAGAGAGAGAGAGAGAGAGAGAGAGAGAGAGAGAGAGAGAGAGAGAGAGAGAGAGAGAGAAGAAAGGTCTAGGAGTTATTCCATTACTACGACTTCAGTCCTGATGGGGAAAGAGGTGGCTATTGGAAGGAGAGTGGGAGCCGGGCGCGCCCTGGTGTTGAGTCGAGCCATAGCTGTGGTCTTCATACTATGGGGTTGTGTCACTTCTGTGTGCATGGCCATGGCAGCTTCATTCATTTCCCCGACGAAGGGTGGATGGTCTCAAGACACTCAACTTGCTCACGCTCCAGTGACGGCACTGGCTGACGTCGATGCCTTGCCGGAACAGACTGAGAGGTTCCGTCTCGGAGATGGCCAGGCGGCTGTTCCCTCAGAAGAGAACGACGACCTGCTCGGTGGTGGTCCCGCCATGGTAGGGCGACCGGTCGTGCTGCCAGGCAGGCGGTCGCTGTCAGATCGCTACCGGTCTTCAAGAATCTCTGCTGAGCTGAAAACAATCCAAGAGCAGAACACCACCGCTCCCCAACGAGGACAACCTGTTGTCCCTTCTGCTCCCCCCTCTCACGCTGGACTCTCCACCCAGCCATGTCGACAAGCTTTGGAGGGCAGTCGCGCAGGTGAAGCCAGTTATAGCGATGGCCACGGCTATGGAGATGCAGATGCACATGACGAAGATGCAGAGGCAGAGGCAGAGGCAGAGGGAAATGACAAGCCTACGGCTTCCCTACAGCAACGGAGGAGCTGGTCCCGATCGGCGAGAGCGAAGATAGTCTTTGGCAGCGGCCCCGATCTGGATCTGGCTGGCGATACCGATCCCGACTCGAGTCAGTCCGCACTTCCCAGCACGATGAGGGCTAAGATGAAGCACCCCATCCCGACCGAGAACACGAGCGATGGCGTGACCTCTAACAGCACAACAACTGCTGGCCGTCAAAGCAATACCAAGGCCGATGGGAAGGACGGGCCCGGCATGGCGATGGCGGCGGCCTCAGCTGCGATAGACTTCATGTCGGGATCGGGATCCCGTGCTGGACAGGCGTTCGGTTACGGCAAGGACACGAAAGGCGGCGGCTCCGGGCCTATTGTTGTTGTCGTCAACTACGCCGACTCGGGCGAGGGGACTCTGCGCGAGGCCTGCAGTCGTTCGGGCTCCTTGCGCATCGTCTTCGCAAAGGACGGGGAGATCAGGCTGGCCTCGCCTGTGCCTTGCTCGTCGGACAAGACGATCGACGGTGGGGGGAAGAAGGTGAMSATCTCTGGCTATGGCATCGWMGTSAAGRRTCAGSAGAATGTGATCGTCAGGAACCTGTGCTTCGCTGGCTCGAGGATGGATGGGATCACCATCAGGCATAGCACCAACGTGTGGATYGAYCGSTGCTCAGTCACGAGAGTCGGCGATGGCGGCRTCGACGTGGTCGGKGCTTCGTACGGTGTCACCATCTCCAGCTGCTACTTCTCCGGRATATGGAAGACGATGCTCCTCGGCAATGGCGACRAGGAGAYCGGGGATAGGGTGATGAGGGTTTCTGTTGCCTTCAACTGGTTCGACAAGTGTCTGTCCCGCATGCCACGCGGTCGCTTCGGTACCTTCCACGTGTGTTCTAATCTGTACACCGACTGGGGACACTACGCAGTCGGGGGCTCCATGGGAGCCAAGCTGTTGGTGGAGAAGAACATCTTCCGCGCTGGTCGGACCTTGGAAGTCAACGGCTTTGACCCTGAGGGCAGCGATGGCATCACGCTCATGTTCCGGGACAACCAGCTGCTCAACGGGGCCCAGATTGACAGTCAGAACTTTGGGACTGTCTCTGTCCCATTCTCCTGCCCGGCGAAGAGCGAAGCGTCGATTCGAAGCAGCGCGGGGTGCGGATACCCATGCAGCTAATCTAGACGGTCACCCCCCTCCCCCTTCCCCTCCCCCTCCCCCTCCCCCCCCCTGTTCCTCCATCCGCCCGCACTGTTTTGTGGCCCCCCTTGCGGCAGGAGCAAATCGCACTGCAGCGACTCAGCGAGGGACAGCTCTTTTTCCACCTGCCTTCTTCCCCCCCAATAGAACGTACGGTCATTATCCCTGTACCTAGAATGAAAGATGCCTCAAATACAGCTATAATGACCGTGCGTCGTATTCGCGGAAGAAGGTAGAAACATCGTACATTTCAGCAGTGAAGAAGAAACCGACACGTGCGAAGCAGCTGACAGTGTGCTGGACTGCTTAGCACGTGCCATGCAGCTTTTGAGACCGCTTTGCATGTGCCATGCAGCGTTCGAGAGTGCTTAGCACAGCGTTGGACTTGAATGAACGAGGTCGAGAAACGAGACCAGGTCCTGCTAACTCAAGCACGTAATGAGAGTCTTACTGGAGTCCGAGTCACAGAGCTGCTATGGATATGGGATACGGCCTTCGAGGGTGGAGTGCGTGCTACGGTTCTTCCCCCGAACAGAACGCCCCAGCTTCACGACTGCATTCGGACGTGAAAGGCGTCTCTATACGTTCGTGATGCTGGGGCGTTCTGTTCGGGGGAAGAAGGCAGGCCCACACCCTATTGATGCTATCTCCGTACTCAGTAGTAGTACTTAGCATAGCAGGTATCTGGCTGATGCTATGTGCATAGCACGAATCTGGTTGAGGCTATGTGCATAGCACGAATCTGGCTGATGCCATGTTCACAGCCCGATTCTGGCTGATGCTGTGTGCATGGCACTAATCTAGCTGATGCAATGTGCACAGCACGAATCTGGTCGATGCTGTGTGCATTGTGCATAGCTAGCACGAATCTGGCTAATTGCCTATTGCTGTCCGTGCTAAGTGTTTGTAGCACGACTCTGGCGTATGACAGACTCGGCCGTCGTCTTCCGCCCTAACATAACACAACGCACCCTGATCGTGAATGAATACAGGCTATCTTTCCAGTCCGATACAGCGATTCATTATGAAGGCGCGTTGTGCTCGGGGGAATGTGGATTGAACCACGGCTAACTACGTACTCCCGTCTTCACCCACCCGAATGATACGCCCGGTCATTATCGCTGTATCTAGACCAAAGTTGGCCCAAGTACAGCTATAATCACCATCTTTCTAGTCCGATACAGAGATTCATTATGAGGGCACGTTGTGTTCGGGGGAAGATGGATTGAATCACGGCTAACTACTTACTACCTTCTTTACCCACCCGAATACAATGCCCGGTCATTATCGCTGTATCTAGACCTAAGTTGGCCCAAGTACAGCTATAATGACCGGGCGTTCTATTTGGGTGAAGACGGAAAAGCTCACACGTACCACAGTCTGACGCCATGTTCACACCAGGACGTTTCATACTCAGCTCTTGACGCGATTGCGGTCAGATTCGTCCAGCTGCGGCCGTAATTGCAGTCAGATACATTTAGATCCATTTAGTCAGTTACGAACAGTCTTTGAGTACGCAATGCCATGGGTTCTATTCGGGAGCGTGTTTGGACTAGACGCTAGACTCCAATTGATTTTGACGTGCCAATAATTTCTCCCCGCCCACTTGTGAGTAACGTCTCGAGTGGAGAGGCCTATGCCGTTTTTTTTTTGTTTTTTTTTTTTTTTGCAGATTTTTTTTAAGTTTTGCTTTGCTTTTTTCCAGCTTCTTCTTTTTTCCTCCTCGATCTTTCTCAGCATTTTTCTCATATTATTTTCTTTTCTTTTTTACCTTTTATTCAGATGCGACGTGAAGCTGAGAACCACGACAATGGAGGGCAGCATCTACTGCAATGAGGAGCAGCTCAAATGCATGAACACCGTCCAGAAACACGTCCAGATTCCTCGCAATCATGCATGCATGCATGCACGCACGCACACACACACACACACGCACACACACACACACACGCACATACAGAGGAGCACTTCAGCGATCGGCATTTGGCGGGAAACTATTTGGTCACTCTGTCTTCTTTTAGAGAGAACTTGCAGCAGTGGCAGAGGAGCACTTCAGCGATCGCCACTTGGCAGGAAACTATTTCGGTCACTCTGTCTTATTTTGGCGGAGACTTGCAGCAGTGGCAGTGGAGCACTTCAGCGATCGGCATTTGGCGGGAACTATTTCGGTCTCTCTGTCTTATTTTGGCGGGAACTTGAACTTGCAGCAGTGGCATAGGAGCACCTCAGCGATCGGGACACTACAACGGTCACTCTCAGACTGTCTTCTTTTGGCGGGAACTTGCCTGGTACTCCTACCAGGTCTTCTGTTCGACGGAAAACGACCCTCTTCATCCGAATAGAGCGTACGGTCGCTATAGCTGTATTTAGACTGCAAGACCATCCAAATTCATACAGTTATCATGACAGTGCGTTCCATTCGAGGGAAGACGAGCAGCCGCTCTGTCTTCCGCTGGTGGTATGACTTGGAGAGACACCTTGGCGAAAGGTCCGCGGAGACTGGGCCGAAGGTCGGCGGAGACTGGGCGGAAGGTCGGCGGAAACCGGGCGGAATGTCGGCGGTAACCCGGAGG